GTATTGCACCATGGAGATTAAGGAAGAGTTCTATGCCGTCTGTATCAGAGTGACAAAGAATACGCCATTCGATTCTGAGCATATTCAGCACGACTACTTCCAAGGAGCCACCAGCGGGAAAGTGTGTCATGTCCGTGTCGAGCGCCTGCGAGGATTCGAGTTGAAGAACATTTACTTTAGTATCGAAGGAGATGTATGACGCCTGAAGCCCAAAATCGACTCGAGGTGGCTTAGTCAAACTCTTTAGCTCCAAATTGGATTTTCGTGCTGCCATGTCGTTGAGCTTCTATCACTTTTAGAAAAACCGTCTTGTTCCGCCCTTCTAACCATAGATGGGGTATTTTTACTTCTGGGTTCAAGCCAAGACCGATTCCTTCTGAACTCATTGACAGGCAGTCCTTGTTGGGATCATTCCAATAATCCTTGTTAAACAAAGCAAATCTCCATTCACAACGGCCGTTCTCAAATGGCTCCCTCTGGAGATGATAAGCGAGCACAAAAGAATCATACTCGTCCGACCATGGTGCAGTTAGATGCATATATCCTGAGAAGCGTTCTGCGTGTCCAGCATAGATTACGCTGCCAAAGGGGTCCAAGGAGCCATCGGGAAAGACTGACATGACGGAAACGTTCTGAAGAGAATGGTGGAATTTGAACGACAGCACTTGCTGTTCAATGCGCCATGTATCTAACGGAGAAAGAGCTTTGACACCATAGGACGGCAAGGGGCCTCCCAAGGTCCAATTATCAGCTGCCCCAGGCCAGGCGGTGAAGATAAGTGTGCTGGGTTGCGCACGGGCAAAGAGGTCAACTCCAACGCGCTGCAGAAGGATGCCGCAGTGCTTCCCCAAAAGCCCATGCAGGGTTGGTAACAAGAACCATCCGGTGCTAAGCATCCTCATAAGAGACATCTCAAACCGTATGCCTCGATTGGTGACGTGGTACTCTCGTGCTGGGTACTGTATCGGTTGAGGATAGAGCCCCCCCAAGTCCCTGAATAGTGCCGGCGAGGAAGCTAGAAGCCCGGTATAACTGGTATCTCTCTCGTCTGCTTTCCATGCAAAGATCGACATGTCCGTGCTTTGCCGAATAATCTCCTCTTGCAAGCGTAAGAAAGCTTTCGTACCCTCACCGTAGAGGGTGGGCATATTGATATCGAAGATACCAAGCAGGCAGTACGCTATATCTTCGGCACGTTTGGTTTTCCGGGTTGCGGCCCATGACATTCTCACTGCGACTGGCTGGGTATCGCGGTGTTTCTCACCGCGAAGAACCTGGGTGCTTATTCCTGTTACCTGCTTCACTTTTTCAGCGAGGCCAAATTTGCCTCCGCGACACTCCCAACCTCGGTCATAGAAGTAGAGCGTATGCGGAGCGATCAACTCCTGCAAAGTCCAACCGCGCGTAAACCATCTTGACGATCCGAGTTCTGATAACTCTCCGCTCCAGTCGGCCAAGTATGCCACACATAATTTTGCGCCCTGGTAATATCTGAACATGGACCCGATGGCTTCGCTGAGTTCCGCCGTGCTCGACTTGTCGATGCAGCAAGTATCGATCCAAACGTATTCTAGATCGTCTTTCAAAGCTATTTCGCAGGTTTTCACAATCTTGCGGTATCCGCTTTTATCCTTTACCGCATCAGGGCGAGGGATTGTTCGCATTTCCGCGAAGGTGACTTCATCCTTGTCAGCGCCCCAGGTGTGGGACAGGATCAGATATTCGGGGAGATCATTGTCGTAGAACTCGGACAACGTGAGGCTGGTGGCGTTGATTAACCACATTGAGTCAACGGACTTTGAGGTTTGTGCGGCTCGGTTTTGAAGGTGAACAGTACCTCCGATCGGCCTTTCTTGGAAGGTGACGATCTGAAGTGACTGCGAAACTTAGGAGAATTGTTGAACATGGTGAGCGAAGCTGGCATCCGGACTTTGAATGGCGGGCGGTCAGGTGAGGGGTGGCTTTTCCAGGGTCCAAGAAGGCTGAAGATGACGCGCTAGCACCAATTCGGTTAGGCGCATGTTTGAGTGTGAACCGAGCAAGCACGAATCGAACCCTTCTCTGTAATCATCCTCCTCTCTAAAGGAACCTTGAAATTTCTCCAAATTATGCTCAATAATGCTTCACATAACGTCCATCGTCCCTACGGATATACACGTGCTGTTGAAGGCGCACCGTTCGTGGCTGTGAAGGGTATTCTGTAAGTGCGAGAGACTTGCACCCGGAACATCACCACAGCGTGCCGACTCGCTCAGTGAATTCGACGGAAGTGCGCCAATAATATTTTATATTATGCGATGAGAGCAAGCAGACAGACTAATCCTGATGTCGACCGCTTCACACCCTAAGGCATGCAACAACCCTTGGGAAGCAAAGTCGTTTACCAGATCTGAAGGCAGTGTCTCTCTCCAGCTCTACTACTCGACAGTACTTCCTTTCCACTTCGCTCTATAAACCAATAAATCTCAGACAAGGCCAGTTGGCTGTCGCCGTACCTTGGTACATCTCCCTAGATGCAAGGACAGATTCATTCGACTCCGACCTATTGCGAGTATTTCATGTTACTGGCCAGTCATGTTCGGTTGGCTAAAGCTGGTGGCTTCCACACGGTATAGCCCCAAGGTTGTGTTGAACTATTGCAAGTTTCTTTGTACCAAACATGGTTGCTTCATTCTCGGCCAGAACAATACCGCTTTGTTGCCACTTCTAAGGTCGACGTGGCGTTGTCCTAGACACCTTCACAATACCACCACACGTCACACTGGCCCTTGAAAAGCCTTGAAACCTTCTATGCTTTTACTTGGCAACAAACTACACCTACGGCAACATACCAACAGCTCTACAACTCCACAGCGAAAAGGGTCCCCAATATTCGAAACCCAACACGTAGAAGGCAGCAAACAGTCATGTCACAGCCGCCCAAGCGCGTAATAGTCAATGTTCTCGACCTGAACAAGAAACCCATCAACCCAGACGAAACCCCGCAGTACAGGCGCAAAGCTAACGGCGTGTTGTTCCAGGTCTCGACGCAGAACACGCGTGGTGTCTCGCTCCGCCGTATAGCATCACGAGACAGCGGAATCGGCAGCTCCCGCTCGTCTGAGACAATGTATGAGCCTCAGACAGAGCGTACCCATTCTGCATATAGGCCAAGGTCTTCAGTAAGTAAGCCGCATCCGCAGGAAGCAGAGCCACTACTACAGACGCCACCAAACGACCGTCCACCTTCGCAGGCCCGCGATACACAAGTAGGGGCAGGCATGCAAGACCCAGGTAGACACATCCCCGGTGAGTCGCCACTGCAGAGACTGCAGAGAATCATGAAATATGTCAAGGAAAAGGATCCTGGCTCTCCGTCTCAATCGGGAACACCCTTGACCAGCAAATCACTAGCACGGACAGCCCAGGTAGTCGATTACGAAAACCTAGGTCATTCAGGGAACACGCGGTCGGTAGAGGGCAAGATAGAAATGGCGGGAGCAAGACAAGGCAACCGCGGGGGTTCGAGGCTGTCAGACGATATCTGGTGTGAACTTGGGAAAGAATATTGAGTCGCGTATTGCGTTTGTCCATATAGTGAAAATTCTGTTGAGTTAACACCTATCAGCCACTTTTCAACTACAAATGCACAAACTCTTGCTGAAGGACTTTGACTACAAGCAAGACTGATGCCGTGTGATCATGTCTCCCCTGCAACGCCCGCTTGATCTCCTCGTTGGAGCCAGTTGATAATTCTTCATTGCACAATGCCTTTGATCTCCTTCGGCGCCTTTGTCGATCTCAACGGCTTGTCCTCCACGCATCCGGAGCAGACCGCTTTGTGATATCTCTTTGTTTCCATCATCTGGGTTGGTGGCGCCTCTCTACCCAAGCAATAACATGACCCCCAAACTCAAAGTTCTCTCCTTCCACACAGTATTTTGCAGATCAAGCTCTACCATCCTTATCCAGCATCTCATCTCCAGCATTTCAATATGCCAACAAATACATCTCGACCAGACACCCCTCACCCAAGCACTCCTCCAAACTTTAGACCGCAAGTCTACAACCGCTACAGCAGCACCAACGCCCAAGTGCTCCTGCATCGGCGCAAACCTCTCCCTCCTCTCCCCCCGCTCCCCATCATTCCTCTCATCTCAATAACTTGCCCGTCCCCTACAAACTCTACCACAGACACCACCAACCCATCTCCATCTCCACCCCCACGCGCTCCCACACCACCACTCTCAACCACTCTCTCTACCCCCCCAAATCCCCCGTCTCTTTGCGAATTCAAGTACTACCTCCCGCACATCAGCACCCTTACCCACGACTTCTACACCGACTCCTCGTTCCTCGCCTACGGTCACCCCATCATCGAACCAAACGAAACCGCAGAAACGGAAGCTTTGCTATTCGGCACGTCGACCTGGCCGTGGATTGAGGCGGGCGGGTTCACGCATGAGGGTCATTCCGACAGCGTAGAGGGCGTGTGTGGGTCTAGCGATGGAGAGGCGGATGGGGTAAAGGATATTGGGAAGGATGGCGTTGTTGTAGAGGAGGAGGGGAAGGTCTCGAAGGATGCGAAGGGGGGGAAAGAGGGTGCTAAGAGTGCGGAGAAGAAGGCGAAGCGAACGAAGAAGAATAAGCAAAAGAAGAAGATGCCTAAGAAGGCGAAGGGAGAGGAGAGTGTGTGGTTTGATGATGATGTCTTGGGCAAATTTGGGAAACTGAAGATTAGGCAGCGGAAGAAGCCTTACGGTACTTCTAGTCTGGAAGAAGGCTCTTTAGAAAGTTAGGAAAGGGCGAGAGATGTCTTCGTTCACACTTCACAGGTTTTGTGTTGCCCCTACCTACAAAAAGTGAGTTAAGTTCCCAAAGTCGAAATAGTGCCCAAGTGGGTCCTAAATCCACATGGCCCCCTCCTATCTTAGCAACCTCCACCTACGACTAAAGATATCGAACCCACCCCAACAGCCAAGAGCAAAAAAAAAAAAGCACCATCGAAATGCAACCAACGATTCCGACACCGGGAATTGAACCCGGGCCTTGCCGGCGCACTCAGAAGCCGAAGCTTGATGAGAGCGGCAAATCCTAGCCACTAGACCATATCGGAGTTTGATGTGTTTCTTGATGAGAGGGAGGGCTGTTGTAAAGTCTATATTCCGTGCACAATCATGCTACTTTCATTACTGTTCACACCCTTTGTCTGTATCATAAGCCGAAGGGTATGATATGGAAAAGCGGAAGGGAACCAGAAATGCCTGCGATGATGTGGCTCCGATTGTTGGGAGCCTTTCGAGTGGCGTGGAGTACCTTCTCTCTACATGTACACTCACCGGGTGACTTCTAAGTCAATGGACTGACATGAGCCTGAGTGGAGGGTTCGGCGAAGACCGCAAAACTTCAAGTCATACGGACTGTTTCACGACCGCATGATCTTCAACACATGAAAAAGAACACATCTCGAAATTTCAATGAGTGCTGATCAGCGCTGATGCAGAAGTGTCGTTATCTTTTTCATGCCCTGTCCAAGTCGACGTCCACCAACCACGGACCCTGGCGAGGCTGGTATTGGAAGTTCATGATGCTGGCATTGAGCATCAGCGTCTCTTCACCCCATTTGAGAGGCTGCCCGCCGTCTTGACTGATGTCCACAGTTGCTGCCCTCTTTTCAGTCATCTCGCGATTGTCCACCTCAATATCCTCAGCCGCCTGGACATGGTCGTTCGAACGGACATCCAGATCGTCTTTCCACACTACCCTCTTCGCTCCCCAGCCTTCATGAATATGCCCGAAGCAATGAATCTTTGGTTTGCACCGCCGTGCGGCCAGAAGCAAGAATGGACAGCCTACGTGCTCACCACTACAAGCTTTGTCCAGGATACCTCCGGGCGGGCCATGAGTCATCATGACATCGATATGCGGGAAGTCAGGCACCGGGTTCTTGGCCGTCGGTCGCATAATATGAGGAGGATTGAAGCAGTTCTCAAAAACCTCGTAGCTGAAGGCCCAGTCACAGAATTCAGGTTGATAAGGAGAAGCATAGACCTAAATCGGTCAGCACGGAGCGGAGGCCATACGCCGGAGACGCACTCTAAGCTTCGCCCCGTTGTCGAGAACGAAACTGTATGTGCCTTCTTCGAGATACGTGACCCCGGCCTGCTTCGCCCGTTCCCCGGTCCATAGCTCTTTTGCTCGCGCTGGCAACGTGGTGTCTGGCTCCTTCAAGCTCTGCATGGTTTGCCCCTTTCTGGCATAGTACTGCGCGTCAAGGCTGATGTCGTGGTTTCCAGCGATCACGAGCTTGAGACGTGCGTCAATGCTTGAGAGCATGGCTAGAGCGCCTTCGTACTCGTCCATCAGGCCCACCATGGTCAGGTCGCCGCAGTGCAGGAGGACGTCCGCACTAGGGAGCGGGGAGCGGAAGGGCACATCGCAGGGTGAGGAGCCTGACGGAACAGGTGAAGCATCATGGGTGTCTGAGATAATCAATATACGAGTCTTTATCCTGTCCGAGGAAGATGTCGACATGCTTGTGAATGTCTCAGAACAGCGGAGGTTGAGCACGCACAGACCAAGACCGGCGACGTCACTGCAGGGGATTCTCTGATAATCAAACCTTCCTGATCCGGCAATTGAAGCAAAAAGTGTCGAATTTCATGCATGAACGACGTCGTTCGGAGTTGAAATTGGCCAAGCGGGGAAAGAGGGTCAAAGCGTGCCGCGGCTGCTGACGGCATGCAACGGCATTTGGCAAGGATGCCGACATCGTCTCTTAGCACGCAATTACTCACGATGGAGTTTGGGCTAGACGCTGGTGACGCTGCCCTCGCTCTTCTCTCGACATGAGAAGTCTCCTGCAGATCGCAAACAGACTTACCGTTGCGCTGCCACGGCCCTCTTTCAGTCCAATCTCTCTCCCCGCACACCTCACACAGCGCTGCGCGATGTCGGCAACAACGCGCCGAGAGGATCCCTTCAAGCCGGCCGCCAGAGTCGCAGGCCAAAGACAAGATGTGTGGTATGAGAGTCGGTTCGTGTACATGCGCAATGCTGATTGCCCAGGTCTGTCGTCAATGAGGCCGCCGCCGCGTCGCCCGTCCAGCCCATCGTGAACATGGGCCAGGGCTTCTTCGGTTACAACCCGCCCAAATTCGTGCTCGATGCCGCAAAGGACGCAATGGACAAGGTCGAATGCAACCAGTACTCGCCCACCAAAGGCCGCCCCCGGTTAAAAAAGGCACTCGCAGACGCGTATTCCCCCTTCTTCGGGCGCGAGATCAACCCGGAGACCGAGGTCACCATCACGACGGGCGCAAACGAAGGCATGTTGAGCGCATTCATGGCGTTTGTGGAGGAAGGCGACGAGGTTATTGTCTTCGAGCCCTTCTTCGACCAGTACATCAGCAACATCGAGATGCCGGGCGGCAAGGTGGTCTATGTGCCCATGCATCCCCCGAAGGAGGGCGCGACAAAGACCACGTCGGCGGGAGAGTGGACGCTGAACATGGAGGAGTTTGAGAAGGCGATCACGCCCAGGACGCGAATGGTCGTCGTTAACTCCCCGCACAACCCCATTGGCAAAGTCTTCTCGAGAGAGGAGCTGCAGACGATTGGCGATATCTGCGTCAAGCACAACATCATCATCCTCTCCGACGAGGTCTACGACCGTCTATACTACGTCCCGTTCACACGCATGGCGACGCTCTCGCCCGAGATCGCGAAGCTCACGCTCACCGTGGGCTCAGGCGGCAAGGTCTTCTACGCAACCGGCTGGCGCGTAGGCTGGCTGATAGGACCCGAGCACCTTGTCAAATACGTGAGCGCGGCCCACACGCGCATATGCTACAGCAGCGTATCGCCTTTGCAAGAGGCAATGGCCATCGGCTTCGAGCAGGCAGACGCGCACAACTTCTGGGACGAGTCGAAGAAGGAGATGAAGGGCAAGATGGACAAGTTCAACGCCATCTGGGACGAGCTGGGCCTCCCGTACTCGGACCCTGAGGGCGGCTACTTTGTGCTTGTCAACATGTCCAAGGTGCAGCTGCCTGAAGACTACAATTTCCCGCCCCATGTGGCGGAGCGGCCGCGGGATTTCAAATTGTGTTGGTTCTTGATTATGGAGCTGGGAGTGGCGGCGATTCCGCCCACCGAGTTCTTCACGGATAAGAACGCGCACATTGTGGAGGATTGGCTGCGGTTTGCTGTGTGTAAGAATGATGATGTCCTGGAGACGGCGCAGGAGCGGCTGAGGGGGCTGAAGAAGTATATCCGGTCATGAGGCCAAGTCGAGAATATGAAGACGCCATTAATCATCATCAAACAATCTGAGAATGCGTGACAAGCGCTGTTGCCTTCATCATCATCTCACTTTCTTAAGCTTCAATGTTCGTAGGCAACCACGGCCCGTGACTCGGCGCAGCATTCCTCCGCCCCTAGCGCCATCACATGACCGCCTGGCCCGAGCGTTTCTGGCGGGTATATAATCCCGCGCGTCCTCGCCCTCCTTTCTCCTCCCCATCCTAGTGCACGGGTTTTACGCTCACCAGTGAAGATTCGTCTGAGGTAGCGTTTTTGCCAATTGAAAACTATAATGTTTGACTGCTCTCACGGGCCTTCGGGAACGTGAGGAATTTTTTGTTTTTTCTCATTGCGAGACGCTTTTCATTGAAGACATGGCTGCGCCGTGTGTTTGAGGAAGGGCTGGGCTTTGGTCGGCGAAGTTGAGAGAGACGAGCACGTTGTTGTCTTCGGCACCTCTGTCGATAGAACGCGCGCTGTTGATGATGATCGCGTGTCTCATTCTGCTGTGCTATACCGACAGCAACCTCACGTATCTCGCACACATTCACACAGCTGTTGTGCTTGCTCTGCCACGCGTCTCCGAGATGTGCCCATTTTCGACGCGGTGGAATATAGTGAGGCTTGGCGGTGTTTTCTTGGCGAGACAAACAACGTCACTTGTCCCTCGACTCTTCCTCTTGCCTCAGCTCATTACCATGTAAGCCATGCATACCCATCTTACTCTAGGCGATGATTAGATTGCCTCACACGGACGAGAATTGGGGCGTCGTTAGTCGTTTTGCTCGGTTATGGCTGCGCTTCCGAGCATGACTACACCTTGCTTGGAGGAAGATCGTCTTCCCACACACTACGCTCGAGGTTTGACCGCAGACACAGCTACTCACAGTCAAGGCACGCCACGACCATGCGGATATCCAGGCGGGACGTCCTGCATCGGAGCACCTTACATGTGCCCTGTAAGAGTACCGCTCTGGAGTCAAGAATGAAGACATCCTCTCTCTGCGGCTCTTTGCGGGGTACGCATAAGTCGATTGCTAATCCGGGCACGAGGACACGCCTTTCTCAATGGTTTTCCCCGGTCGTGGGGTCGTTACATCACTCTCGAGCCCACTCTCCCTGCTAATCTAAGAATAGACACCAGCACGCAATATCTACGATACCTACGTCCCAGTCCCACTACCTCCCCATTGCACCGGGGCCTGGAGGTTCCGTTTCAGCTTCTAGTTGCACGGCATATTCTCACCGGGAAGACATGGTGCCAGAGATCCGCATGGCGACATAGTCGAGATGCCGTGATCACTGTGGTCCCTCCGGCTGAGCCATTTTCGATGTGAAACATTTTCTCACGACAGACGACAGAGGTGACCGAGTGGCGAACAGGCCCTCATCCAGTTGCAGTCTGGTCTTGGCTCCCGGTGCGGTTCTGAACATCCACGTCATCCTAGGTCACCACGGTTGCATTTCAATACGAAGGCAGGAAGAGATCGTAATTCGAAGCGACCAAGAAACAAATCCTGGAGTTCTTTCTGTCTGCCACAGGCCGCAATGCTTCAGCCTTACGCTCAAGCAAGAGCTGCTGCATCCTGGTATTCCGCCGAGCGTGGACGGCCACATGATTGAAACTACCAACCCGCATCTGCAGCTCGCTTTGTGGGAGACTCTACGAAGGAAGCCTCCTCTTACGCTCCCACTCGCCAGTGTACTCCCAGTGCCACAGCTCGCCTTTGAGGTCTTCAACCACAGCTTCGAGTGCGAAATTATAACTGCCCTGAACGAGACCCCACACATGTGCGACCTCCCCGTCCCCAA